GAAGAGTAGATTTCTAATATGTAGTTAATTACTTTTAAGTTAAACCACTGCTATTCAAATGGAAAAATTATATGAATTTTCATTTAGGTCTAACTAAAGCTGTTAATTTTATTAAGCAGATGTTTTTAGTTCAATTACCGGGATTAATTACGTTTAGCATTTCTGAAGGAACAAGTCTTCAGGACATAATTTGTTATTTGAAGTATCAGAAGACACCAAGTGTTATACCTGTAACAAACACTACACTGTTTTTCAAGGGAACAATTATTTGACATTCATTTTAATACTTGTATTACTGCAAATAAAGCAATTTGGTCCTACCTGACTTATGATCCGATTACATCTGTCATGATGTAAACTAGAGTGGCTAATATTAAGAGAATTGCAAAGTTCAGTTACTGTTATTCTTTGAGCTCTTTTGGTTTAATAATTTAAACAAATATCTTATACTTTCTTTACACAGGTAGTAATTCTCTTTACATGTAATAAATATAACTGAGATGGTCTTTTCCAGTTGCCGCATTCAAAATGGAGTCTATTAACATGCAATTTGGTATATCTGAGTTCTTTAGATCACAAAGATTATCTACCACCTGAATGTACTTCAGTTATTACCTGGTAAATATACTTAAAACATCCTCAGGTAACTAAAAGTTAACATGTACTCATGAACAAGAAAATATTTGCATTCAACACTCAAGTTTCTCCATTTTAAGCAACAGTGACAATTATTGTGAGTCTTATCAAAACCTATGTGAAAGCTTTATGGTATGTATTAGTTATGCAAAAAAAAAAGTTCCTTCTGAGACTTCTGTTTAGAGTTAACTGGATTCTTAAAACTGAATTGTTTATGTCCTCACCCACCAAACCATTCACACCACAATCGTTCATTCAATTTTGTTTCAGTTAAAAAGTGCATGTTGGTTGCTGGATATAGTAACTTATTTTAAGGAATAGCAGAACCTATGCAGGGCTCCTTCAACACTGAGGAAAAAAAGATTAATTTCATCTCTATGCTAACTTCCAAGCACTGTATGTAAATACCAACGACAATATATTTAGCAGCTGTCATTTAAAATCCTGCGATATAATTACTAGAAGATGTGTAATTCTGTACTTTGAAACGGGATTACATTTTCTCTCATTACAAAATCCTGTGGCATTTGGTACACAGTCTTTGGTACAGAAGCAGTGTTTTTACAACTAGAGTTCCAATCTGTCCTTAGAAGTTTGTCGATACATCCAGTTTCTATCTCCTCTGTCAGAAAAAAACTTGCCTTATGAGTTTGTTGTTTAACATTATCAGCACAGTTTTATAGGACTGGGCAATAATTTTCTTATGACAATGAGGAAATGGGGAACGGTGAATGTCAGAGTTTTACAACAGACAAGTACATGCATTATGCATTTATTGCATTTATTTGAAATGAGGCCAGATCGTCTTCTTACAGAGAGACGTCTCCTGTAAAACAGAAGTGGATGTAACAACACAACTTATTTCAGTGGTATTTCCCTACCATGCTACTGTGAGTAACAAGAATCCAGTGCCAAGGCACTGTAAGCCCACTGCTTAGGAGCTCAGAAAGGACATGGCCCTTAGCTCTTAGGGGGCATATTTCAGAGTAGGAATCCAGGGAAATGTTTTACATCTTGGCTGCCAATGTAATTACAACCCTAACCATATTACAGAAATCTGCTGTGGTTCTTCAGCTACGCTGTAAAGCCTTTGCTGGTTTAAGGTGAAACTTCCTGCCTGTTTTCTGTCTCACTGTCCCTTCTTCCTTGTCGCTTCTTTCATGTCAAAGCACCAGCTACTGTCTCAGCTTTAGCAGACCGTAGTGAGTTTTTACTAAGTCCTGGTTTTGATTCTGTCTCTTAGATACTGACTCTAATACGCTGATCCTTGCTCTGTGTGCACATAAATCATTCCTCCACAAATCACTAACCGCTTCATCTTTCAGCTCTTGTTAAGCTCCCAATCCATCAATTTCTTTGACCCTGCTGCTCTTATTGTCCCTCTTTCTCCAACTGCCTTCTATTTCTCTACTGATTCAGTGGTCACTGCCTTTAAGTCAAGTTCTCCTACTAGGTCAGCCCTTTCAAATTCATCCCATTAAAC